ACACATGACCCACCTTGGCTTGTGACACCCTGCTTTCTCATTTACCAGATGAAAAAAAATGAGGCGTATTCAGTTTAATAGTGCTTCTTAAGTGGCTCAAGGCTGAACATGTGTGCAAATAGCTAGTAGACCAGAAGCCCTGAAGAGTCCAAGCCTTTGTCATTGGTGCCCCCTGCAGTGGGGCGTGTCAGGCTGTGGGGGCTAATTATTTGATTGGTTTTGGGCTCAGGGTGGAAAGTGTAAGGCTTCTACAAGTGACCTACAGGGATAGACCTACAGGGATAGATTAGCTCCAGGGATAGACCATCCAGTCTGAGAGTTATTCTGGTCTTTTACTCCTCGCCATAGAAACACAGAGTCACAGAATAACAGGGCTAGATGGGCTTGGAAATCATCTAGTCCAGCATTTCTCAATCGTTAGTCACATAAACCATTCATTGTTTTGTAGAAATGTGTTCTAGTCTTTGATGCTTTTAGAGAAACTGGCTTCTTTTTCAAAGCTAAATTATTTTTAAAAATGTATCATCATGGCCTTAAGTTAAAAAATCAGTGTGATTTTATAGAAATAGAAGATAACCATAAAACAAACAGAACGACCACCACCTTGTTATGAAATTCTGTCCAGTCGTTTGAGCCTTCAGCCTGCCCAATTTTCACTAAGAGTTCAGCAAAAATGAAGCAAGTGTTAAAGGAGTATTATGCTCAACTGGCGTATTCTTTCTGATGGAGTCAGGGAGATCAAAAGGGACTTGAAAAGGTCATCAGTTTCTCACTATCTGATTCAGTGTTATTCAGTGCCCTGCCCCTGTATTCTAAAATCATCTTGGACTTCCTGAGTTGTCGTGTGTGCTCCATGCTGTAGGGAATAGCATTCCCTACATTCACATGTGGAGAAACTGAGCATTCCCATCCATTCACATATGGAGAAACTGAGGCCTCTTCTCTCTCCTTCCTGACAGTTACCTTTGTGCCACGTCACTACTGCTTTGCCTCTTACCTAGCAGTTTGGCTAGGGGAAGGGAAAAGAAATGAAACACAAAAGAAGTCAGAGGCAGAGCTGACAGATGGTGCTTTTGACTCTATGAAGTTGGAGCTTCCCTGGTTTTCAATTACACCTGCTCTTCCTGTCCTCCGTTACTGGAAGACATAGATGGTAGCCCTACCCAGAAGCTGAAAGAAATAGAAAGTTGCCCCCCACTTCCATAAGGAAAACTCCTGTCTGGCTCCACCACCACCCAAGACATTTAGATCAGGAACCTTCTAGAAGGATGTAGCCATACGAAGGGAAGCATCTCCAGTTGTCTTGCCAAAAAAAGCATTGTGTGAGAAAAGAGCAGAGCCAACTAAATCTAATTCACCCTTGGAGTAGGCCATAGAAGCTGTGCTAATGGAATTCTAAATCCTCTGGCAAAATGTATGGATTTTCAAAAGGAGGTGGAGAAATCCTTTTTGTCCTGTTATCTTCTCAAGATGGATTTTTAGTTGAAAATCCTTCCTTAAAAAAAAGATAGGATAAATGCAGTCATACACTTAAGTAAGCTCTTTATTCCATTGACTGTGATCTGGAGTAAGCTTTTGAGACATTTCTTCAGACAGGAAGGGAAGGGACAATCTTGGAGAAATACCCTTCTTCATCATATTTTTAAGGATGACTCTGATTATATCAAACACCGCTTAGTGTTTCATTTTAATTTTCTGTTACTCTTTGGGGAAAAGGTACTGTGTGCATTTTTTAAAAAGTTTCTTTTCCACATATATTATAGGATGGAATTAAAAGGGTATGCATCTTAATCTTTGCGACATGGGTGCCTACATCTGATACCTATAATGTGAATGAGATCGCTTTCTTCACTCTCTGACTTTGTTACCTCATCTGAACGGCTCAGGCCATTATTCATGTTGATGGAAATGAGAAAAATTCAGATGCCTATCGGCTTGTGTCTGCATTTGTTCATAACAGAAAGGCTCCCCTCAGCCCTGTGTAGGCCCTTTCCTCAGAGACACAGTGGGAACTTTGTAGTCAAGAAGGCTTGCACGGACTTTCTGACTCTGAGATCCAGACAGGGATCCTCAAGCTTTCTGAGCCTCAGGTCTTCATCTGTAAAATGGGGATAAGGATATCTATTGTGTCAAAATATTGTCACAATTAAAATAAGGTGGTATAACTAAAGCTCATAGCACAGGGCCTGACATTTAAGCATGCAGTAGGTGGTCGCTACTATTATTATGTATTTCTACATGGGAAAGGTCACTTGAGATAAATCAGAATACTTACCAGCTCTGGGGTCAGAGGGAAGACCGGACTCACTTCTTTGTTCATCACTGTATCTCCAGTCCCAGTTCCGCTAGCATGTAGCAAACTCTCGGTATTTTTTTTTTTTTTTTTTTTGGATGAATGTTTGAATGGTTCTGGCATTACCCCTCATTAGCTGTGCGATCTTGGGTAAGGCATGTCACCCCTCATGAAGTGTCCAGAGCAGAGGCTGGCACATGCTATGCTCTCCCCACGGGTGTCCTCCAGTCTCTATGGTCCTTCACTTTTGAGGATCCCAGATAAAGAACTGGGATTGGCATTTCCTGGGGAAGATGGCAAGGGAGACTTCATTCAAGGGGGTGGAGAGCTACTACGATGGCGGTTTGCAATAGGAGAGAGAGATTGGGCCCAACTCCGAATGCAGCCAGGGAAACCAGAAATCGGTGGGTAGGTCAGTCGCTGGAAAATCAGGACGAGGAAATACCAGGGTAAGGGGGTTCCTGCCCTACAGGCTGAACCGGCTTCTTGGCGAGGGCTGGCCAAGGTGTCAAGACACCGGCTGGGGGATGGTGGAGGATGAGAAAATGGAGCAGGTATCAGTGGTGATGAGTTATTAAGGGTGGGAATTCTGGCCAAAGTGGCTTCGCAGTATTCTTGCTGAAAAGGACAATGAAGAGACAAAAGTCCAGGCCTAGCTGAAAAAGAGCCCAGAAGAGCCTGAGCAGAGCTTAGCCCGGCAGAGAGTCTCTGTCAGTACCTCCCCCAGTCCTGGCTGGAAAGGAGCAGAAAGTGAGCTGGGGTGGGTTCCAGAAAGCTCCAGAAAGCTACGTGAACATTGAAAACTGAACAGGGTGCATCCAAGGTGGAGCATGGGAGTGGGAGCAAGGTTTCGGAGGGGCCTTCTGGAAGCAAAAGTAGCATGGCTGAAGATCAGGAAGTAAGAGCGAGCGTGACATTTCTTGGAACCGCAAGAGACTCAGTCCAGTTTGTATGCTGCGGAGGGGTAGGAAGTGGCAAGAGGTGGCACAGGACCAGACACCCTCAGAGTTCAGACTTCATCCTGAAGCACGGGGCCGGGGTGGGGGGGGGACCTCCGTCACTGGGTTTTCCTTCCAAGGGAGTAGATAATCAGCTCCTTCCAGAGGACCCTCTTGGGTGGTTTTAGTGCCCCACATGCCAGTAACAATGATGCTGGAACACACCTGACCCCAATACACAGTCGCCTTGCAGCCGGATCCAAACGAAGCATCTTTTCTGGCTGTAAAGCATCTTTTCTGTCTTAGTGTCCTGACATTAAAAACCCCTTTTGGGCTAAGAACATGCATTTTGGGGCTTGAGAGAATGTCGGAAATCACATACACTTGCCAGCCTAAGTCTAGCTCAGTGGACTCTCCTGAGTGGCACCTGGGAAGTTTTAAAGGAAAGAAATACCCTTTCCCCGGCCACCCTCAGAGATTCTGGTTCCGTTTTCTGGGGGTGGAATGGGGCATCGGTGTATTTTAAAGCTCCCCAGCACAGCCAGGGTTGAGAACCACGATGGCGTGCCCCACGTAGCCACGTTTGCTCTTGAGAAGGGAATGGACCCCCCTTGCCAGATACTCCAGCCGAGACTCTGGACCAGCATTGCACACCTTCCCAGCAGACCTTCAAAAGCTGCCTGTAGCCACTGCTGAGACCACTGCAGGCCCTGCCAGCTTCCTACGGGCAGGCCATCTTCTAAAGCCAGTAGGAGGCAGCTGGAGAAGGAGAGGGACCTCACGTCTCCCTGCTCACCTCTGGGCACCGTCTCACTCCCCAGCCATGTTCTCCGTGCAGCACTAAGAAGCTCTGTGAAGGATTTGCTTTTCCCCTGAATTTACCTGGAAACTCCAAGCGGGCCTCATTAGCACATTACTCACACTCCCCCAGTCCCACACATCACCTTCCTCCTCGCCCCACCTCCAGAACTTCCTCCCCCCCCCCAACTTGCCCACTTAATCAGTGCAGTTGGGTTCTGTGCCCTGGGCCCTTGAAAAGCACATTTTCAGAACGGAAATGCCACCAGAAGAAAGCAGGTAACTAAGGGCTCCAGGGTCCCAGCTCATCACCTCTCATTGGCCTCCCAGCGAAATGCCATCCATCAGGGGCGCCGAGCAGCAAGCCCTCCGCGTACTTCCCAAGGCTCTACCCTGCTTTTCGCCTTCCATGCTGAGACAGCAGATCCTTCGCTTGGTGCCCCTGGGTTGTTTCCCACAGCAATTAGCTGTGCCCTGTGTTAATTCCAATCAATAACCCACTGCCACTTGCTCTTACGCCAGGCTGGACGCTGCAGCCTCCACGGCACATTTTGGAAGTAACTTGCTGGGGCCGTGAGACTCTGCACCCCCCGCCTCTCCCCAGGAAAGCCCTTGACAGGCTTCCTCCTGACAGCCAGTATCCTTCACTGAGTGTCGGGGGCAAGGGACAGGGTGAGCAAGCGGGCGTCCCGACACCTCTTTCATGTCCGGGGACAACTCGGGAGCCGAACCAGCTCCCCTCTGGGATCCATCCCTTGGGATATCCACAAAGCTTTCATTTTTCTATTTTGGCTTTTTTAGAATTCTTTTTTTTTTCTTTTTTTGTTTGAGATGGCTGTCTTTTTCTTCCATCTAAAAAAACCCTCTCTCCTTCAGATCAGTCCTTTTTTTCTTTTCTTTTCTTCTTCTTTTTTTTTTTTTTAATCACAGAACCACGGTTTCTCATTTCTTGCCTCTGTTGCTTCCTTCAGCTCCCTGTGGACAGAATGAGACCCGGGAGGATGGCAAAATAATTCAGTTGCCTCCCTGCAAGACGGGAGCCTGGATTGTGCCGGCCATCATGGCCTGCTACCTTTTAGTGGCAAACATCCTGCTGGTCAACCTGCTCATCGCCGTCTTTAAGTAAGTGGGTCCTTCCTTGGAGGTCTTGGGACAGAGTGGGAGGCCAGGGGAGGGCAGGCTCTGGTGCCTGAGAAAGGAGTGGATCTCTCTCTTGATTCTCTCTCATCTCTATTTCAGCAATACATTCTTTGAGGTAAAATCCATATCCAACCAAGTGTGGAAGTTTCAGAGGTATCAGCTTATCATGACTTTCCACGAAAGGCCGGTTCTGCCCCCACCTCTGATCATCTTTAGCCACATGACCATGATCTTCCAGCATCTGTGCTGCCGATGGCGAAAACACGAGAGCGACCCAGACGAGAGGGACTACGGCCTGAGTAAGCTTCGGGTGACGGTCCTGGGCCACCACAAAGCAGGGATTCTTACCACCTCCTGCAGACTGTCATGTAGGACCCCATGCCCACCTGGTTATGCCTATAGGACTTCATGAAGAAACCAGCCCTGCTCTCTATTAGTCAAAGGAAAAACAGAAACACTCCACGATCCATCTTCTACCCAGTGTTTCTAAAAGGAGGTTCTATTGGCATTGGGGTGGAATAATTCTTCACTGCGTGGGATTGTCCCACACAGCACAGAACATTTAGCACGCCCGGCCTCCACACATTGAATACCAATAGCTCCTGCAGGTCCCTAAATGTCCCTCAGTACCCCACCCACACTTAGGAACCACGGGGAGTCCAGCCCCATACAGGCAAGCTCCTGTGGTTTCTCCAAGTGTTAAATAGAGCACCTACATTAAATCTACTGGACCAGAGCCTCTGGGATTGGGGCTCAGGGGGTACCTCTTGGTGATCACTAGTGCACCAAAGCTGAAACCAAAGCCACTTCCTCAATGGCTTCTCGAAGTCTGAAGCTTTTAACAACTTCCCTGACAAAACAATGCCCAGCTTCATTCTAGACATTAAAACTAGTGAGTCAAAGAGGGCCTGGAATTCCAGAAGTTACTGTTTGCACTAGAAACACAAATCTAGGCAAATAGAAAGCTTAGTGGGAAAAGGGTTCACATTTCCACGGGGCTCTTTCTACGGCTGTATCAGTTATGAATTACTCTCCCTGATAGTTATAGAAAACCAGACTAACAACAGCACAAATCAATAAAGTTGTATTTTTCTCGTGTAACCAAAAGTGAAGGGGTAGGAGTCCAGAGCTCAGCAGTGGCTCCCTGAAGTCAAAGACCCTGCATTCCGTTTTAAGCTCTGCTCTTCCTTCTTGCACTGTCTTATCTCGTGGGAGCAAAATAGCTGCTGTCTTCCCAGTCATCACATTCGTGTTCCAGACAGGAAGAAGGGGAAGGTGAGAAAATGTGGAGAGAAGCAGCTCCCTCTGAAGAGTTTATCAGGAAGGCAGAACCTCTTCCCAGCACACCACCCCTCCCTGTAGCACACTTCTTTCTCTGGAGCCAAACTGGGTCTTGTGGCTGCTGCCAACCTCAGAGGAGGCTGGAGATGTGTGGATGTGGCTTTCCAGCCTCAGCTGTGGGCGTCTGCCACACTCCACAAACCAGAAACTGAGCTTTTGAGTAACCTGCTTTTTCTTTGACTTAGCTCCTTTCTCAGCCTTGCAATGTGTATAATGCGAACCCGTCCCTGCAATAAACCAGACACACTCAGAACTTCAGGGCTCCAGAGTGACCCTAATGCACAGAAGGAGCACAAGGACAGAGGTCACCCAACTGGGTTGGGAGTTAGCCTGACACTTAGTAAAGAATTTCAGCCCCTTTTCTGAACGTTGATTAAGTGAGGAATGTCATTAGGCCCACAGATCAGATGCCATTGCTTGTCCTTCCTGTCTTACATTGCTCACTTTTTTCCCACAGAATTGTTCATAACTGATGATGAGCTCAAGAAAGTACACGATTTCGAAGAGCAGTGCATAGAGGAATATTTCAGAGAAAAGGATGATCGATTCAACTCGTCCAATGATGAGAGGATACGGGTGACTTCGGAAAGGTATGTTCCATGGGCACACGCCTCTCACAAGGATGTTTGTGTCATGGCAATGCCTTATCAGCTGTGTTTGTTTGCAGCCCCCAAAACAGAGATTCCCCGTGTGTTTATCTTTAGTGTCCAAGCTTATGAGAGAATGGAACATTGTCTGAAGCATCTATAGACCAAAATCCCATACTCAGAGCTCCTGGACTTCTCCAGGAGGCAATAGCACCCACTCTCCTGGACACTAGGTTGTTGAGTCTAGGACAGGTTCAATGGCTCAGACCAGAAATTGCAACATTCCCGCCCAGACACCAACCAAGAGAGACCCAGCCCGAGGTCTCTCCTTGGGCTGGGTCTCCCGCAGGTTGGTGTTTCATGTAGATCTCCAGATATCTTTTCAGGAGGAGTAGAACAGTCCTCGTACCTGGTTCATATGGACATTCAGTGCCTCTGAATCAGCAGTAGCCAGAGACTTCTGAATTCGGCACAATAATGGATGAGGGTTTTTTCCCGAATTATTTTGTTTTATTCTTTTTATAGAACAATATGAAAACAAATGAAGAGAAGCAGATTCTTCTAGCCAGTGGTGATATACTTGCAGATCTCACTGGTCAAATAGTTTTGTGGACCAGTAACACTATAAGAAAAAAAAAAAATCCCAAAATATAAAGAAAGAATCCTGGAAGTGTAATTAATCTAGCTTAATGCAAAGGGATTTACATTTTCTGATTTTTCTCATTTTGCTGTAGACTAATAAACACTTCATTCTGGGCTGGCATGTACAAAACCCAGCATTTGGGAACCATTCTGGTAAAGAATGTGCAGACTTACAAAGCTTGGTGTAACTTTAAGTTGTAAGCATTTGAGACATGAAGATGGCACTATTATAAATAGTGGGGAAAGGCATTATATCGATGACTTCAGTTGATATGATTTAGACTTCTAAGATATGAATCAGTGACCTCGAGTTTTCAAGAAATGACATTTTATCTGTTTACCCACTTTGTACACTCTCTAGTTGCTCTGTAGAAATTACACAAGCAGCATTCTTCTGTCCCTGGCTCTTCATTTCTTTGAAGAATGCAGTCTAGATAAGCAGGTATATACACACATGCCCGTGAGTGATTGTATCCATTGGTACTCTGCCAATATTAACAAAGTTTAAAGCTGCGCACAAATTTTATGCACATCTGTCATTGCACAACAGAGTGTTCTAGGATGATATGATGTGAAGCAATTTTCTGGCAAACAGAGGAAGGAGCTGTAAATCTAAAAATCGCTCATTCTAAGGCCTTGAAAAAGCTATTTATTAATGGACATATAGCCATGTGGTTTCCAGAAAACTGTGCCACGTGGACACATTGCCTGTTGCTCAAACATTTCCAAAGCATATGTGCACGAGACTTTGAAATGCTTTTTGATCTCAAAAAGCTACAGACCTGGGATCAAAGAAAGGTAGGGGGAAGGAGTATTGAGATGCAAGGAAGCCTTCACCTCTCTGGGGAACTAGAATGAGAGGTATTGGCGCCAGCGCCTGTGAACATGTTGTGACCATGCCACCAGTTCCTTGGCACTGGATAGAAACAGGAAGGAACTATATATAACACCTTACCTGAGCCTCTCATGCCCACCTGTAAGCACTTGCAGGAGACTCCTTCCCCAAGACCGTCTTCCTCTGGGTGTGGTTACAGAGCTCTGCCCTCAAGGACGATGACCAAGGTGAGCAATTTCCAGAAATTCAGGACAGATCACAGGCACCCCCTTCCTGTGTCTTAGGCATTAAGTAGCTTTCTGGAGAAGTGGAGGCCTGGAGGACCAGGACAAGCTCATGACCAAGCTCAGGTGCCAAAGACGTGCATCTAAGCCCAGGTCTCATCCTGCTTCTGTTGCTTCTGTCTGTGTTTGTTTGGGGTTTGACTTTTGTTGGTGGTGGTAGTGGTGGTATTGGTTTGTTTCGCATTTGCAAGTGTACCAAAAAATCGTTAAAAACTAGAATTGCACTCTGCACAACAAACACCACAAGGTGCATGAGGGAACGAAGATCAACCAAGGAAACAGAGGACCCATATTCCCCACCTCACACACGCTCTAGGACACATCCTTTCTGAGTGGAATGGCAGGTGAAATCACATGTCCTATTTGCTTTCAACAGATAGACAACATATAATAGATAATAAATGATAGATAATACACATATATATAATACACACACATTTGGATAGTTACATGTTTAATTTACGTAATTAACTGTACACATATGAATAAGATATTATATAATTCTCCCTTCATGTTAAACAGCCCCAATACAGGGATTTGAGATCAGAAAAATTAAGACCTGGCCCTGCTCTGCTAAAAGACTTGGGAAAAGGATTTCTTTACATAGCGAGACCCACATTCCTTTCTTTGCCACCGCCTGTAAAATATAACTTATTTATATAAGTTTTACTTGCATAAATCTTTTTAGAAATACAAAGATACTTCCATAATTGTCAACTTAAATGCATCATTCCTAAGTCATATTTTTGCACCCAAATGTTATATAAAGAGTGCAATACAATATTCGAGAGATCACTAACACCTCTTAGGAATTGATTCTGAAAAGTCCTTCTTTTCTCCATTATATTCATTTTGTCTCATTGTTGACTTGATAAGTATACCTGCTATGCCTTCACCATAATTTCCCAGATACCCACCAGCACAGATCAGGTGAACCAAGACAGAACCAAGACATTGGTATGACTCTAAAAATACCTTCCACTGACAGTATTGGCCCCTGTTCCACCACCTCTCCTTTTGTTAATAACCAGCCAGATATCCACATTTCTCCCCTCAGCCCAGTGTGTCAGCCTCCCTGCTAAAATCACTAGGTACTCCATCACAAACATTATACATCTGTGTTACTGTATTGGTCTAAATTATCAAGACAAGATGACTGCTGTGCCCATAAAGTCTCCTGTTAAAGAACTCTACCTTTTTAAAGTACTCAAAAAGTGCCATCTGCTTAACTATATACTACTGAGCTATTCTGTAATGCTGCCTAGAATTTATGTCAAACTCATATAATTCCTATAATTCAGGAACTTTTCATATCAGAAAAACCTTTTCCTATCTCCAGTCTCCTGGCATTTCTTTTTTATTTCCCACTGGTTATTAAGGGTTGCCTACATTTTCTAGTGATCGCAGCTGCAAGTTCTTAACTCCCTTAAAGCAGGGTTTGCAAACTGGTGGCTCTTGGGCAACATCTGCCCACAGAGGGCTGTTGGGTTAGGCTTGCAGTGATGGTTGAAATCTGTTCTGAGAGCCTCTGGCCTGGGCATCCCCTCTGCTGCCACAGCATCCCTGCTTCTGTCCTCACACACCCCGGCTTCACCTGCTAACTTGATCTGCCCCCCCCATGGGCATTTAACTCTCCGACCCACGACTTAGAGCTTCCAGATCACCCTCCCCATCACCCCACCTGTCAAGTTCCACTTGTCAGAAGAAGTTGCAGTTTGATTTTTCTTCTCTCCAGTAACAATTTAAGCGAAGAAGGATATACATGGTTTCTAGCATCACTTATCGAACATCATCATTCCTGAGCCAAAGGGCTTTGTGCCCTTTTTGCTCTTCACTTAGATCCAAAAAAAAAAAAAAAAAAAGAACAGTCATGTGACTATTAATAGTGTATTCAACTTCTAATTTTCATAACAAAGGGAGACAAGAATAACTTAAGATATATGAGACTCATAAGTAATAAAAAACCAGTGTAAGCCAAGAAAGATGAGCTTTACCCACCTCCCAACCATATCTTTTTTCCAGTGCTGATCTTTGGTAGCTCTGCTGATTGAGTTGGATTTAAATTGCGTTCCCTTTTCCTTGCCAGGATGATGAGAAAGATGACTGACCCCAAGGGAATTGAATAATTCACAAATTAGGTGTCAGTCTATGGAGAAGCCAGAGTTTGCCTTATTTGTTCTGCATCATTGCCTTTCATTTGAAAACCTGTGTGAGCATGCCCTCTCCCCCAGCAAGAGGCCCTGTGATTGGTTCATGTGATATGGGATTGTGTTTGCCCCTCATCCTATAGCGATCCTACTGCTAGCACTCCAGGGAGGTTGTTTTTTTTTTTTTTTTAAATTCAGTTTAATTAATATATGGTGTATTATTAGTTTCAGAGGTAGAATTGAGTGATTCATCAGTTGCATACAACACCCAGTGCTCATTACTTCAAGGGCCCTCCTTAATGCCCATCCCCCAGTTACCCTCTACCCCTCACCTCCCCCCGGCAACCCTCAGTTTTTTCCCTAAAGTTAAGAGTCTCTTATGATTTGCCTCCCTCTCTGTTTCCATCTTCTTTTATTTGAGATCTAAAACAGGCATGGCAGGGCACCTGGGTGGCTCAGTTGATTAAGCGTCTGCTTTCAGCTCAGGTCATGATCCCAGGGTCCCAGGATCAAGTCCAAATAGGGTTCCCCACCCAGTAGAGAGCCTGCTACTCCCTCTCCCTCTGCCTGTCCCCCTGCTTGTGTGCTCTCTTCCTCTCTCTTTATCAAGTAAATCAATAAATCTTTTTTAAAAAATAAGTGAAACAGGCATGGTCAACCAGTCCTCGTCTTTCTTTTTTTTTTTTTTAAAGATTTTTTTATTTATTTATTTGACAGACAGAGATTACAAGTAGGCAGAGAGGCAGTCAGAGAGAGGAGGAATCAGGCTCCCCGCTGAGCAGAGAGCGTGATGCGGGCTCGATCCCAGGACCCTGGAATCATGACCCGAGCTGAAGGCGGAGGATTTAACCCACTGAGCCATCTAGGTGCCCCAGTCCTTGTCTTTCTTTTACTGCATTTCCTTTGACCACATTTTGAGGATATCAGGAAAGAAAATGAATTTGTAGAAAATAACAGCTCTTAAGAAATTGCACTTTGAAGCTGACATTTTCTGTGTCATTAGAATCTTCTTGTGAAGGCTCTTTTCTTCATCATATTGGCCATTAGAGGCTCGTTGTCTTCTTCCCTGTGCTTTTCAACAACCCACCGCGTGCCCTCTGGTGGGGTCCCAGCTGTCACTTTCTTGGGCACCCAGGGACAGGAAACATCCCATCTTTCCAGGACCCTGTCGTGCCCCTCTTGTGCTTGCCTCCGAAGTGATGCTGAGTAAGCCCTGTGGCGCCTAGAGACGTGAAAAAGGGAAAGAAGAAAAGAGTGTTCTTCCCACACGGCATCTTCCTTTCCGTGGTCCCTCCTTTTCATCCTTACTTAGTGACTTCCTGTATCTCTCTCCTTGAGACTTCCTATCGATTCATAAATTCTTACCATTCTTACTTCTGTTTTATCTCCTGAGTGGTTTGACCAGAGTCAGTAACTAGTGACTGCAATCATGACCCAGAACTCTTCAGCTTGTCCCTCACACCTATTTATATCGGTGATGCACACCCATGTATAATCACTTCTCAAAAAAATGTTCTGGGAGGCCTGGGTGGCTCAGTCGGTTAAGTTGATGCCTTTGGCTCAGGTCATGATCCCAGGGTCCTAGGATGGAGTCCCACGTCAGGCTCCTTGCTCAGCGGGGAGCCTTCTCTCTCTGCCTCTGCCTGCCTCTCTGCCTGCTTGTGCGTATGCGCGCTCTCTCTGACAAATAAATAAATAAATAAGATCTTTAAAAAAAATGTTTTAAGACGAAGGGAGGCACTCTGTTTATGGAACAAACATGTAAATTTGATTCCAGGATCTTTTCTTCTCTTCAACTGTTGGATTAAACGTCTACAGTTATATTCACGACCTAACTGAGCATACAGTTTGGTGGTTAAACACATCCAGAAATCCGGGAAAAGTCGGAAGAAACAGCCCCTCCCCTCACTTCTTACTTTTCCAAACACCTCAGACCCCACAGGAGAGCCGGCTGAGGAGAGATTGGCAACGGAATAGCTCCGTGGTTCTGTTCAGGCTGTCTTTGCAACCACCTCTACCTCTTCCATTCCCTGGGGCCATGCTCCTTTCCTTTGCTTTTGAGTTTCCCCCCTGGCCACCTCTTTGTTTTCCTTGAAAACCCTCTTCCTCCTTGCACCACCTGTCTGTCCTTCCCCCTCTCTGTTCTTCCCTTCCCGCTGGGCTCCTTAGTTTTTGTCTTGTTTACTATCCGTAACCAGCTCCAAACTCCTCCTTGGGCTCATGGTGCCTTAGTTCTGCCTCTCACCAGCTACTTTTCTCTGCCCTGTTGGATCCTTGGGTGGAAGGCAGGTGGAACACAGGGAGGGAGCTCCCCGCAGAGCAGGGAGATATTTTACAGTGTTCAGACCCGTGTTCACACACAGTTATGCTGAAAGAGCATCTTTCGCTCTTTCCATACCAACTTTTTATATACCAGGCTCCAGGAAAGGAAGGAGAGGGAGGACGAAAACTATCCTGCCTATTTTGATTCTGCCTACACTAAACAACTAAGAGATCCCAGTACCTAGAGCATCCAAAATGGAAAGTCTCATTCTACAAAAATGGGTCTCTCCTGCTCCCGACTTTAATGAGGACGTATTTTACCCACTTACCCAAAGCTTATTACATGGCAAAAAATAAAACTGCAGTCCCTGTGAAACCGAACTGCAGAGGCTAGATGGTGACAAAGTGAACCGTGTCTCTGTACGACACACAAACTTAATTATTTTAAGTAGTGTTTCTCCAGCTATGTTTACACCACAAAATCAACTGAAGCTGGGGAAGGTTGTATGTTCCTTCTGAATCAGCTGCATTAGCTGGGTGAAGAGCATTGGGTTTGCCAGATACAGAATTGCTCAATTTTCAAGTCTTTTAGGAATACACCGGGCCTTGGCGGCAGAAAGTTCCCGGACCCTGGGAAGTGCTGAGCTGGGTCTGGAGCATGAGAAGGACATCTCCAAGGCAGGGCTGGTGAGGGCAGTCTGGAACCTTGAAGGGGGGCGGGGGGGAAGGGACCCTGGAAGATAAAAGAGTGGGAGGAGGGAGTTGGGGGGTGGGAGGACTATTGCTGATGGAGACAGAAACATGGCCCGAGGCCAGAGGATCACACATACCTTCTCTGGCCAGAAGAGCTTTTTGGTTTTTTAAAGCCTCCAGGTCTGAGGCACCTGGGTGGCTTTGTAGATTAAGTATCTGCATCCAGCTCAAGTCGTGATCCCAAGGTCCTGAGATGGCATCTGGCTCACCGCTCAGTGGGGGGCCTGCTTCTCCCTCTGCCCCTCCCCCTGTTTGTGTTCCCTCTCACTGTGCTTCTCTCTGTCAAATAAATAAATAAAATCTTAAAAAAAAAAAAAAAGAAAAGAAAAGAACTTCAGTTCCTCCAAGAGGGAAACCACATGCCTCTAACTCCTCCTTTGGGCACTGTAACATGTATTTTTCTCTGACGAGGGTGTTGCTACTATTTACATATTGCTCCCCCCATCACAACAGCTGAGGGGACCCAGCCCCAATTCCCACCACTGTTCCTAAAGCACATTCTGTACTCCGCCCCCAGCATGTTTCTTTAAAGGCTCAGCAGTCACAGGACTTACTGCGCCCACTGGGAGTATTGGAAACGTATCTTTATCTCTAGCTTCTCCAGAAAAGTTGTGAATGGATCTCACTTAGAGTCTCCAAAAGATTTGCCTTGCGGCATTTCACAGTGAAAGTTGGAGGTCACAGCAAAGCTTGGTTCTGGTTTCTCCTTTCCCAGTCAAGTGAAAAGTATGGCACAACTTTATTTTAAGTATGTGGACTCTGTCTTTGTAAATAAATGTCCAGGCAGCCTACTAGACCATTGAAATCAAGTTCATAACCACGATGGTCTCGGTGAACCATTAGTGGCAGCTGGCAGCATGGAAATGAAAAAAGGAATATGAGACAGATCACACCCTTGAGAATTATCAGTGGGGAGGGTGGAGACATCTAGAAATGACTGTAATATAAGGCATCTGTGACCAGCTATCCAGAGAGACACACAGAGAGAGAGAGAGGGAGGGGAGTAGCAGAATTTACTTCTTGATAGGCACTCCGGGGTTTACCATAAATTACTTTATGTAATTTTGGTTAAATTCCTTGATGTTTGCTTTTCCCTCATTAATGAAATGCTTGGGTTAAATTATGTCACAGGTGCCTCTGTGGCAGGACTGTTTTAATTCCTTCGGAGGTGCTAAATTTTAAAAAGATGATTGTGAATGGCAACAACCAAAAAAGATTATTATCTAAATGCAAAATGGGGGTGCCTAGGAGGCTCCAGAGGTTAAGTGTCTGCCTTCAGCTCAGGTCATGATCCAAGGGTCCTGGGATGGAGCCTCATGTCCGGACTCCCTGCTCAGTGGGGAGTCTACTTCTCTCTCTCCCTCTGCTGCTCCCCCTGCTTGCACACAATCTCTTTTTCGCTTTCTCTCTGTCAAATAAATAAATAAATCTTAAAAAAAAAAAAAATAAGTGCAAAGCAAAATAACCCCAGTCCACACTCCAAGTCTTCTGTGGACACTGCAACGAGAAAAGCTGCCTCCTAAAATTCTCTGGTGCAGTTCTGAATCAAGTCATCGAAAGGCAACAACATCCTCATCTTGGTGGCGACTGATTATGCCTACGCCCTAATACATGGTTAGTTCTTTGAACCCCGCTCCAGGTCCCAGCTAAGTCATGAGGTACTTGGGTCCCACTCCACTTCAATAAGAACTACTCAACTTTGGTGTTTATCGGGATTGTGCATTAAATTTTACTGAGTGGAAAGGGGTTTGGTAGATAAATACCACTGGATTAGATCATCTCTCAGGCCTCTTTCAGCTCCAGATGATTTAGCTTCTCCAGAGAGGAGCCCGGCCTTGCGTGACCCTCCTTGTGTTTCTCGCCCAGGGTGGAGAACATGTCCATGCGGCTGGAGGAAGTCAATGAGAGGGAGCACTGCATGAAGGCCTCGCTCCAGACTGTGGACATCCGGCTGGCGCAGCTCGAGGACCTCATTGGGCGCATGGCCACGGCTCTAGAGCGCCTGACAGGTCTGGAGCGGGCCGAGTCCAACAAAATCCGCTCCCGGACCTCGTCTGACTGCACAGACGCCGCCTACATCGTTCGCCAGAGCAGCTTCAACAGCCAGGAGGGGAACACCTTTAAGCTCCAAGAGAGTATAGACCCTGCAGGTGAGGAGACCATGTCCCCAACTTCTCCAACCCTAATGCCCCGTATGAGAAGCCATTCTTTCTATTCGGTCAATATGAAAGACAAAGGTGGTATAGAAAAGTTGGAAAGTCTTTTTAAAGAAAGGTCCCTGAGCCTACACCGGGCTACTAGCTCCCACTCTGTAGCGAAAGAGTCCAAAGCTCCTGCAGCCCCCGCAAACACCTTGGCCATTGTTCCCGACTCTAGAAGACCGTCTTCGTGTATAGACATCTATGTCTCCACCATGGATGAACTCCACTGTGATATGGACCCTCTGGACAATTCCATGAACATCCTTGGGCTGGGGGAGCCCAGTTTTTCGGCTCCAGCACCTTCCACAGCTCCTTCAAGTAGTGCCTATGCAACTCTTGCACCCACAGACAGACCTCCAAGCCGGAGCATCGATTTTGAGGACATCACCTCCATGGACACGAGATCTTTTTCTTCAGACTATACCCACCTCCCAGAATGCCAAAACCCCTGGGACACTGACCCTCCAATATACCAGAGCATCGAGCGCTCCAAAAGTAGCCGCTACCTAGCCACCACTCCCTTTCTTCTAGAAGAGGCCCCCATTGTTAAATCTCATAGCTTTATGTTTTCTCCATCGAGGAGCTACTATGCCAACTTTGGGGTGCCCATGAAAACAGCAGAATACACAAGTATTACAGATTGTATTGACACCAGGTGTGTCAATGCCCCTCAAGCGATTGCTGACAGGGCCACCTTCCCTGGTGCCCTGGGAGGCAAAGTGGAGGATCCATCTTGCTGCCATCCTGAGCGAGAAGCAGAACTGAGTCACCCCAGCTCTGACAGCGAGGAGAACGAGGCCAAAGGCCGCAGAGCCACCATCACAGTACCCTCCCAGGAGGGTGATAACTCGGACAGAACCCTGTCCAACAACATCACGGTTCCCAAGATAGAGCGTGCCAACAGCTACTCGGCAGAGGAGCCAAGTGCGTCATATGCACACACCAGGAAGAGCTTCTCCATCAGTGACAAGCTCGACAGGCAGCGGAACACAGCAAGCCTGCGAAACCCCTTCCAGAGGAGTAAGTCCTCCAAGCCAGAGGGACGAGGGGACAGCCTGTCCATGAGGAGACTGTCCAGAACATCCGCCTTCCACAGCTTTGAAAGCAAGCACAACTAAACCTTCTTAGCACTGCAGGAGGCTCAAGAATCCAGCCCTGAAATTCTCCCTGAACTTCACCTGTTCCCCTTCCTTGAAGCTTACCTGCTTTATTCTTAGCTGAGCAAAACAAGCAATGCCTTGGGAGGTGTTAACTTGAAGGTGACCTCTGGGCCGCAGATCAAGAAAGCACTTGGTCTAGCCCAGTGCCAAACACAGGGGCTTTAAGTCGTGTTCACATTCAATGGGTAGGGTGGGAAAAGAGGGAGAAGAAGGGGTGCGGTGAGTGTGTAGGTCTAGCGACTTCAGAAAGCCATGAGCTCTGGGAATGAAGGGGCTTCAAGCACTCTCTATGCCAGGAGGCATCTTTCCATTTCTGACCATTATCAAGAGTTTTAGGATACAGGGCTAAATTGCAAAATAAGATAAACTAAAGTAGCCAGCATACAAATGAGATATTCTAAACTTCAATTCTGTTTTCTTTTCACATTGGCTCCATCACTGGTGACTGATGAAGAGCATCCTTTTTATTCAGTATAAGCCGGCAGCAAGCAGTTCTACCTAACGTCCCACATCCTTCTCATGCCAACACTTCTGTAATTGATCATTATAAAGAAAAAACAAGGTAACAGTCATAGTTCACCTGTCTCTTCTATATTCACTTCTGGTGCCACAACTGTTTATCTTTTTTGAAGAAAATAAAGGGAACAGAAATGCCTTTTTGTGTTGCAAGCAAAATGAAAGAAGAATTGAGGCTAAAAACAAGGGTCAAGTAGTTTATTATAGACAGTGGGCATTCGAGTATAGTCGAGCAAGCTCAGGATGAATGTAATTAAATAATTTTATATTTTTAATTTATTTTGTATCTCACTTGTCATCATTGAAGTCACTCACTGAATCTGTGATAGTGAACTGAAAGAAAGAAATATATACAGTGGGCAGAACTCACCTAAAATTGCCAGTGGTATACTGTTACATTCTCACCCTTCGTGTCCCGTGTCATGCTACTGTGTGATTGTCATCATTTGCGTGGCTCCACCGTGTCTTCTGAACATCTCCAAGATGTACCTAGAAATTCTTCACACCACTCATCACATGACCATTTTGTATATGAAGATCTGATCACACGTGGATATTTTCATACCAACAGTTTTGCCGTTTAATCTGAGCTCAGCATAAATTTAATTGGAGTTTTTCAAGGGCTGGTATCTTTTTTATGGAAATGTTCCAAAGTACTTTTTAAGGAAGTTTCAAATCATAAATAACCTTAGAATTGACTGGGAATTTGGTACAACCCAAAGCCATCAGTTGCAGGCCTACCGTGAATATTTTTCTTATATGTAGAGCTATAAAAAAGATAGAGTAGACTCAAGTAGAAAGCAAACCACATAAAGACTTCTATAGTATATGCTGCTTATATACCTATATATGCATTTACACAGAGACATGTTTATATATAGTATATAAACAGGCATATAGAGCTTTCTTCAGAGGCTTGGACTTTTCTGTCACCTTGAGGTATAAACCAGGATTTTTAATATCCAAGGAGTTCCATTGAAAGAGTTCATTCTGTTATGTTGGATTTTGACAGATGTTGAAATTATGTTTTTGTTTTTTTTTTAAATCCCTATGACCTTAACTCTTCCTTGTACTAAACTAAAGTTGCCAAAATGACTGGCTACCTGCTCTTTGCTTCTTTTCTGTCCGGAAACACTTGCTGCAATGACATCTTATTTAGTCTGGTTTCTCCTGCACGAAGTGATTACGGCAAGTACAGTCTGAATTAGACATGCAGTTCTAAACCAGATAGTATTACGGACTCTTTAATACAGACGTACACTACTAGGTCAGAATCTGGATTTGAAGGGGGATAAAGAAATATTGACCCTCAAATCTTCCAATTCCTTCTTGTGTCCCTGATTTTCAAAAGAATAAAATCTTTAAAGAAAATGACCTAATGTTCTCGGCCCCCAAAATAGTATGTGGTTCTCCCGTTGAGTTGTCATTGGGAGCTCCAAATTTTCTCATTATGTGAAATCAAGTAAATATATGGACTAAAGCTGTAGCCTGTAAGGTTTTTGTGTTTGTTTTTTTTTTTAAACACCTCTGAACAAACCTTTTGGCTATAGAAATAGTTATGAGGCCACATACAAAGAATTAAAGAATTCCTTCTCACTCTTTGGCATTTGAGTAAATCGGACACAAGCAACCAGACTCCCTCGTGTGTGATTGCTCTAGAAATGCTTACATTTTTATTGAGCCCCACATTGGCTGTTTCCCTTTCAGCAAATAGGCATTTGGTCTGAGAATAAATCAGTTGCCCTTAAACTTCCTTGAGTCATGCATCTCAGTGAGAATCTGATGAAAGCTCTGGGCCCTCTCCCCAGAAAAAAATGTATATACATGCAGCATTGCAATGTAACTTGAAAGGGTCCATGAACCCCTGGTTCCACGTTGCTTGATAATGAGGAAGAGGAACCATGTTTGTTCATAATCGATATGAAATCCTAATAGGCACTTTACGTTTGAGACCATTTCTCTGTGATTCTCAGGAAGGCCAAGTCTCAGCACCAGAGTTGGAAGCAAGATTTTGTTCTTTTCGTCCCTTAGATTATATTTTGCTAGTTTGATATACTTATATCCTAATGTTTGATGATTTAAGAAGCCAGAGACTCTCTGAGTGAGTCTGTAGAGGAATCCAGGAAGGAGGCAAAACCATTATTCTTTGACCACAGAGCAGGACATCATGGTACCTCTAGGGCCCCATTCTGGACCAGACGGAAAGCGAGGGAAAGAAATTATGTGCACAAGTGTTTCCATTCATCATGATTTCTGGAGAGAGCAGAACAGGACCGGGGAAATGCAGTCCTTGCCAGTCCAGACCTTGTGACTGCCTGGTCCTTTTGTCGTACAGGAAAACGAAGCTCTTACATCTTTCGTGACGTGTGCAAAATATATAAGCCAAATTTAAATTACTTTAAACGTAAACTGTGCAATTCTCATGAGCCATTTCTTTCCTGTGCACATACATGCATATTCTGTCTCAACCCATTTCTTCCCATTTCTGGGTTCTCCGCTCCCCGACATGGCATTGACTCCATGGTCTTGTGCAGTCAAGCTCGTGTTCAGCTCATTTATTCCATCCCGTCCCTGATCAAGGGGACGTTAATTACCTGTCTCTATGAGTTAAGCAGCTCATGAGCAGCACATTATTGAGGAACATAAATAAAGTTAGAGAGAGCTCACAGCAGTAATAGCTTTGGTTTCATCATCTGCTTCTGAGGTGCCAATTTTTACATGCTACTATACGTCATGATTTGTTCTAAGTCGCTTGTTCCTTTTAAAAAAAGAAAAAAAGAAAGAAAAGGGTGTTTTATGAAAATGGCCATGGAAATTCCCTGATTGACCCACATACTTACTGTTACAAACTTCGTCCTTGACGGATTTGAATGAGGGTCTGGAAAACTTGGGCACAATTGCCATGGCTAGTTCCTACATTTCTGCAAGCCAGAGGCGTATTAGCAGGCAGAACACAGCACTTTACCAGAACTGGCTTTCCTTTTAAGTCTAAACTTCCAGGTCTAGGATATATATTTAGCACTTTGAAAGTTCCCCTTAAAAGAAAAAAAAAAAATATATATATATATATACATATATATACACGCACACACACATATGTATGTATGTATATGGGTATGTGTGTGTGTATATATACACACACATATATATGTGAATATATATATGAATAATCCAGTGGGAAAAATGTACTTGTAAAAACACACAGTGTGTTTCTTCTGAATGTTTCAAATGTATTCTAAAAGATGGTTTCTATAGATAATATTATGGTAGATAACTGGATAGTACATTAATTCGACTTTCTGAGGCTCTGCAGTCTAATCTTCCTGAATGTTTGGCTGTGTGACTTCTGTCTTGGCAATCAATATTATCCAGTCATCCATCATGCGCCATCTATAGACTGTACCATTCGATGTGTCGAGCAATGCTGTATTATAAAACACGTGTACACATATATGTAACCCATGTTTCACCCGGCATAGTTGTGGCATGTGGTTGTATTAATGAACGTTACAGGACAGCTTTATAATCATCGGCCAGTCTGTAACATTCAATAAAGAAGCACATGTTGCAAGGATTAAGTATGTTCCCAATTCCACGTTATTCAGCATCCTCGCAAAATGAGCACTTTGGTTCCCGATCTGCTTTATGGTTTTCGCAGTCCTCTAACCCTCAAGGAACTACTTGCCTCGGCCGAGGTCCATCCTCTAACCAGCCCCGTGAGCCGTGGTAGGCAAGTTGGGTTTTGCAAAATGTGAACTGGCCTGTGATGCGAAAGACTCTGTGACAAAGGAACTTAAGATAATATTTTCAACTCCAGTGGAATTAGCTGTTTGTTTACATCTGCTAACCCCTGCGGAAGCAGTGTACAGTATTTTATAAATATGTTCATTCAGTAACACTGATACGTTTGTTTCTAGATGAAGTGATGCTAGTGTGTAGGTAGTTATATATGTTCTTGATATTGCATCTGACTCATTATTCTTTAATGATAGCAATGTAACTTAAACGAAGTAATCCCTCTCCAAATCCAGTCTTAATTTTGTGGCAACAAATTGCATGCTCTGCTTTATGCGTTTCTTTTGACTTTTTAAAGACACTTAATATTTGACTATTGCCTGCTGTAACACTTAACCCAGCTAGGAATTTGCTCACATTGTTGGGCTTCTTATACTGTTTGGGGATTATGTTTGATTTTTAAAAATTAAAAACAAAAAAAGTAACCAAGGGTTTTTTTTTTAATCTTATTTTAAGCTCCGAACAAATAATATGAAATAAAGTATTAACCACAGGGTGTGTAGCTAGGGGACCCAGAGATGGCTGGCCGACACTGTGCGGGTGTTGGCGCATCTGTGATGTAGGAAAGACACATTTCTGATCCTTTAGGGCCACTGGGTGCAAATCGCGAAGCCAGAGAGAAGAGTGAGAAGTCCATTCAGACAGTACAGAAAGCCACAGAGCATTTTGAATGAGTGGCCCAATGAAGCCCGTGACCTCCCTCCTACCTGGTGGCTTTTCTACCTGGTATGTGAGCCTGGTCCAGGGGAGAGCGAGGGATGGGTGACTGGGGGTCTGATCAAGAACCGGGTGACTGAAGAAGGTTGCCCTTTTAAGAAATCACCATGTCATTATCAGAAGCCTCTCTTTTCCACTTGGAAAAGAGAGGAGCCACTTTGCACAGTCTTATAAATGACTGCTCTTCCAACAGGGAGAGAAAACTTCTCCCAGCCTCTGCTGGCCTAAGCTTTCTCTTCCCTTTCCATGTCAAACGTTCTCTTTCCCCAGATCAGAGTCAACCAAAGCAGGGCTTGGTTCTAATTTAAGGAAAACAAGATTTTTTTTCTTTTCTTTTTTAATCCACTCGCAAAAGCCATTTTGTTACCTTTTCTCCGATGAGTTCCTTGCGCTGGTCGCTGCTATGACATCAAAACATGACGATCTCTATATGTCTGTCTGAGAAAGGGTCTCGGTGGCCACGTAATCCGCCTGGCAGTAAGAGTGAGGTGAATTTTCCCTTCCCTAAGTTCCCTTGTCTGCCAGCCCCCTTAAGCCTCGAGCCCCTTGCCTGTCTGCATAGCGTTTATGTGCTGGAAAGTGAAAAGGGCACACATGGCCACAAGTCGCTGGGCTCTCTGCAGAGCTTCGGTACCAGCCTTGACCCAGGCCTTCCTCTGGGACAGGCAGGCTGCCCAGAGCATTGGGCCACAGAAGTAAGTTCAGCTTGGCCCCCAGATGTGCCGCTTTCTTCACCCCCTTAACTTTCTTCTTTTCTCTTAGCCAAGCACAACAGGCTTTTTGCCAAACCCACAGACCCTTG